GTGGGAATGCAGTGCTGGTCCTTACAGCCCTGAGTGTGGCTGCGTATGCGACCCTCATCGCGTTGACCGTGCGGCTTGGCCGATAAGCCCAGGGCAGCGGACAGTAAGGGGCGTCGCGTAACCTGATCTCCATCAGCCCACCTATCTGAAGAGCGACGTGCGTCGGCAACTTTGGAGCCCCCTGCGTGACTGCCAAGCGCCAAGAATTCCGCAGAATGCGACTGCTTGCTTCACCCCCGACCGGTGCTTTTCTCGCAATTTATACGATCGGAGCGGAAGGTAGTAAAGCGACGGGGCGACCACGGACAATGAACTTTCAAATTGATCCAGTGATGCCACTTGGAACAGCCAAAGCTGCCAAGGAGATGTCTAACGGGACAATAAAGCCCAGAAGTACATGCATCACGGCGGACACAAGGCACTTAATGTGATACAAGTAGGCGCGCTGTCATCCCTGCGCGACACGGAAGGATGCACAAGCATGGTCCTTCTGAATGAGTCTACCTGGACCCACCTTCAGCCTCTGAAAGTTGAGAGGGCAAGATACTACGAGGACTGGCAACTGGCCAAGCGCCTGGTGCTCCTGGTAACCCTCGCTGAGCTGCAATGCTGAGTGGTGGACGGAATCCGAGGGAGGAGCAAGGGAGGCATGCAACCTAAACCAATGGGTCGGCAATGGGGCGATTTCGAAATGCTGAATGGCCTGGATTCATGATGGGCCTGCACTAAGGCAGTCATCTAGACCTTTCGAGCTCGAACTCTGATAGTCCGATCCCCGTTAGATAACAAGTTAGGCGCTGCTTCATCGGGAGGGTGCGGCGAGCTGACAATCAGGTCAGTATCAGTCACGACTGCGATGATCTGACGTTGCTCCTCGAGTAGTTTTACACACTGGCCATAAGTCATCGTAGATTATCATCGGTCGGAAGCTCAAATACCAATTTCAATGGTGGAAGACGGATGTCAATTTGGTCATGCAATTGTGGGCGTACACCCGATAGTCCACGGGGACTTTTACTTGTCAGGATAATGAGCCAACGAAATTTTCATTGAAGCCTATCCCTGGATCATGCACTCCGTACAGGATCAGCCTCTTCCCTTCGCATCCTTACCTAGCCAAGCATTCTGAACTTGCCTGTACATCCATCGCAAACCCAAGCCAAGCCTTTCCGGCCTTTGTTATGGCCGATTATGCACATGGGTAGATAGAGTATCACAACACGACAGCAACCATGATTGAGAATGAATGCTTTCCTCTACGCTGTTGATGACTACTTATATTCTGTTCTCACAGTTTTGCAATCAATAAACAAGTAGTTGATTTGAGTAGACATTATTTGACATCATTGATACATCGCGGCGGTGATCAGCCTTCCGAAGATCCACTGTCAAGACCCCAGAAGTGACTTCATCGGGGAAAAGAATAGACGACAATATAACTTTTCCCGGTCGCTGTGATGAGAGAAAACACCCGACTACTATTTTCTTGCTTTCTCGAAACTGCCATTCTGATCCATAGTTTGATCACGTTCTGTTCTGTTCTGTCCTTGCCTTGCGAGCTGGCTTGCCGGCGCACCCGCATCCAATCAACCGGAGATTCCTGGCCATCCACGGATTATCTGTCGGAATTGCCCTTTCAGCTGCAGGTTAAATCTGAACGGTGCACACTCTGTATAATTTGGTGAAGTGGCTGTTCTTCACTGTCCTTAAACGTCTTGTCCCAGAACTCTCTTTCTCACAGCAGTGAATTCAGTTCGTCGATAGTAGTGACGCTCTGTTTGCCGTTGCTCGACTCGTCACCTTACCTGGTATTATTGTTGCTTCCGCCCTCCCACCACTTGTTTTTCCCTCTCTTGTTTGCACCCCCTCGCCCCAACTTCCTCTGACTCAGGCCTGATCGATCTGGGTGCATTCCAAGCCTCTTCTCACATTTCTCGCAAGATAAGAAATCCTCATTTTGTTAGCCACAATCCTGAAACCTCATCTTTGTCTTATTTAAGTTTCCTCTCTTCCCCTCCCCTTTGCATCCCTGCTGTTCTGCGGGGATGGCACAGCAACATTCAGACATTGCGCGTTCCGCGATCATGACGTCGGCCTCATCGCCTGAACATCGGCGAAACGGTGTCACATCAAATGGAAACCATTATGCAGGTTCGAATAAGCTCGGAACGGGGAAAGACGCCAGTCTTATGCCGCCGAAGACTCTAGTCGGACGAGCGCTAGGGAACGAACTGCATTCCGATGTCCACAAGGGATCGCATGTGTCTAAGGACGGTGTCGGGTTCGCCCTAACAGACACTCCGATTTCTACCGCACCTCCGTCTCCACAGATGTATGTTTCTCTTTTCTTTTCCTCCAATGATTTCCTTTGATTTGACAGCGTTTCTTTTCTTGATCTGGACCTCGGGTTATTAGGAATTCTAGATCGTGCAGGTTGCAGCCCAAAAGTCACTTTGTTTGGGTGCCTGATCAGCAGTTCTCGTGGCGGGTCTATCATCCCCCCGAACACACCTTGCTTGGATAGCCGAACTACGTTTTGTTTCCCCATAAGACTTCTCGTTAGATTTGCTTTTTATTTGTCTCGGATCATATCATCGTTTTCTCCGTCTGGATCGATTCTGTGAGAACGTGTTCCGTACTGACAATAATGGTGAATGTAGCAATGGCGTTAGCCAGGTGTCGACCCCGAGTCGGGTCCGTGCCACCACTCTCGATATCCCAGGTCTCACCAAGTCCAAGGTGTCTCCCGATGGACGTATCGCTCAGAGAGATCTCGGCTCCAAGCTGGTGATTGTCATGGTCGGCCTTCCGGCCCGAGGCAAGAGCTACGTTACCAAGAAGTTGGCTCGCTACTTGAACTGGCTGCAGCATGATACTCAGATCTTCAATGTTGGAGAACGTCGTCGTGTCGCGGCCGGCAAGTCTCCTTCCCCAGCCAGAGCCATGGGCCCTCGTGACAAGCGTGCGTCTGTGCACAAGGATCTCGTGGATTCTGTGCGACGTCTCAGCGTCAGCGTGGGCACGATGAACACACAGTCCTCTAAGACTGACACCTCGCCTCCTGAGGCTGCTACCTCGCCCCCGGAAATCAACGGCCTCCCACCACCGGTTGTTCCCGCTAAGATCCTTGTCAATGGGCAGGAAGAACATCCCTCTATGCAACAGGAGGGTAGCACGATCGTGAATTCTATCGATGCGGGACCGGACAACCAGCAGGCTGTCACGGAAGCATCGCCGGAGCAGATCGATCAATCGGCATCGTTTTTCGACCCACAGAATCAGCGTGCTGTCAAGCTGCGCGAACAGGTTGCCCTGGATACCCTGGATGAGCTCTTAGACTATATCCTGGTGCAGGGTGGCAGTGTAGGTATCCTCGATGCCACCAACAGTACCCTCGAGCGCCGCAAATTGATCGTCGACCACATTCGCCAAGTCGCCGGCCCTGAGCTTGGTGTCTTGTTCCTAGAGAGCAGCTGTGTGGATCCCGAGCTCCTGGAAGCCAACATGCGTCTCAAGCTATCGGGCCCGGACTACAAAGGTCAAGATCCCGTGAAGTCGTTGGAGGACTTCAAGAAGCGTGTAGCCCTCTACGAAAAGTCCTACGTCCCGCTCGGAGAGTATGAAGAAAAGCACAACATGGCGTATATTCAAATGATCGACGTGGGACGCAAAATCGTCTCTCATCAAACCCATGGCTTTCTTTCCTCACAGGTCGTCTATTATCTTTTGAATTTCAACCTCTCACCGCGCCAGATCTGGATCACACGTCACGGCGAGAGTAAGGACAACCAGCTGGGCCGGATCGGAGGCGATTCGGAAATTAGCGAAAATGGGCGCCGTTATGCCAAAGCTTTGACTCGTTTCATCGATTATCAACGGCATCAATGGGAACAGTTACAGCAGCAGAAGAATATGCTGCGGCACTTTCCCCCCCGTCCCGGTGACAGTACGCCTCCCAACCCTTCCTATATCCCAAGGGATCGGCCGCGTAACTTCTGCGTCTGGTCGTCAATGATGCGGCGCTCGGTCCAGACGGTCGAAGGATTCAACGAAGATGAGTACGATGTCAAACAGATGAAAATGTTGGATGAGCTGTATGCTGGAGAGATGGAGGGCATGACATACGACGAGATTCGGAAAAAGTATCCCGACGAATACGCGGTCCGCAAGAAGAACAAACTGTTCTATCGTTATCCCGGCCCTGGAGGCGAAGGGTATCTGGATGTCATTAACCGCCTTCGCGCTGTGATTGTCGAGGTCGAGCGGATGACAGACCACGTCTTGATTGTCACCCATCGGTCGGTGGCGCGCGTTCTGCTCGCTTACTTCCGTGGACTGAAGCGGGATGAAGTTGCCGACCTGGACGTGCCTCTAGGAATGCTGTACATGCTCGAACCCAAGCCTTACGGCGTGGACTTCAAGGCCTATCGCTACAATCCTGATACCGATTGGTTTGACCATATTCCTGACTTTGAACTAAGCCAGGCCCCCACTTATTGATTCGACTGATGAAGCCGTCGACTTGCTATCTTCGTTTGGGGCTTTTCATATTGATCAGTCTTCTATGCTTGATTTATGACCCCTCCTTGCTATGATTCGGACTTTGCGGTTGCCAATGTCATGATTTTGCGATGTGACTTTTCCTGTCTTTTTCATGGACTTTGTATTATCATCGAAAGATCCCTTGTGGTTTCCTTGTTCAGGGGTGTGTCATGGATAGCGGGAGTTTCTATGATGAGTTGTTTTTATCTCCAATCAACCGATGTCCTTGTGTGCTCGCATGGTATGGCGTTGAGGTGGACTTGCACCTGATGCCATCAGAGCTCAACTCTTACTCGAACTGATGTTTTCTAGAAATGTGGTCCTTCCAGTCCCACTGGTGTCTAGTCTAGCTCTTATGATATGTGATGTGATTTAGCCTGTGGCTATAACGCGCCTTCAGTGTACGCATACTCTGCAACATTAGTCGTGCTCAATAAGCATTCTAAAGATTCCCTAGCTTAAGAGTTTTGCTTCACTTTCTCAAACACCTCCAGGAAGGTCTCAGGCTCATCCGCGCCCTCTATGGCATATTGCCCTTGCACGGTGAAATACGGGACCCCAGTGACCAAGCGACGTCGCGCTCGTTCCGCGTCGAGGTCAACTTCCTTTCCTCCTTCGTCACCAGACTCCAGAAACTTTTCAACCTCCCCGCGGTCCAATCCCGCCGCTGCCGCGGCATCAACCAACACCTTCCGGTCTGTGATATTCTTCTCCTCCTCAAAGTAGGCGCGAAAGAACTGCTCAGCGACCCTCGTCTGCAGCCCACCCACCTTCGCCTCGCTCGCATTCCCGTTAGTCGCCGCCGCACCTCCTCGAACCCCAGCCTCCTTCTCCTTCAAGCCCGCATACCAAAGCACCCGGTGCGAATCACGGGTATTCCCCGTCTTGCCTCCAAACTTGAACGCGATGCCGTCGGTCTCGCCCACGGCCGCAAGGCGCGAGAAAATAGCCGCGGCTCGGCCCTCGCCGAACTTGGAGGCGTAGAACTCGCGCTTGTCGACGCCGGGATACCCCGGGGAGGCCGGGTTCAGGTAGAAGGCGTGCCAGGTGAGGGTGAAGGTATCGGACGGGTACGTGGCTTTGTGGGTTGTGATGGCCCGGGAGAGACGGCGGTAGCCGACGTAGCACCACTTACATGGGGTTAGACTTAAGAGGTCTAGGGGATATGAGGACGGTGGTGGGGAATACTGTGTACGTACCGGACAGACGGTGTCAGAGATGATTTGGATGTTGATGTTGGTCATGATGTTCGGAGTTGGGCCAGTTGGCAGTGGTCCAAAATGAAAAGGAGAGTGCGTCCTCTGGATCACAGATTTATATTATCCTGGTACTCCGTAACTGAGGTAGATATTTATTTATTTGGCTTTGCTTTGATGATGATTTGTCAGCAGCTTTCCTGCGTGCTCGCAGGTCATACTGATCCATTTTGATTGATCTACAAGTATTTGGTTATGCTGTTTGATCATGAGCAAGTCTCTGATCCTATCTGGTGAACAAATCTTACAACCAGCTGTAGCCTTTTATCCACTTCTGCTGCTTGATATTGCTGATCTCCGCTGTGACATCATCAGCCGAAAAAGGAACCCGGGAAACTATACCTCTCTTTCTTCAGACTAGAGAGGTACTCCGCCCACATAAAAGGCTACACCACCCTGTAGTATTGATCGCCCATCTTGAGCTATATCTGGCTGGCGATGACCCATTCCAATAATGTCTAATGCTGGACCAGACAGGGCCCGTCTAGGTTGATGGCCAAGATAAATATGAGGCTCAGAAAGTCCTTCCCAAACATTGCCACAAGGCTTAATAATAAGAAGGCTGAGGGCGAGCATAGGTAACCTCCTGATCTTCAATCTCAGTGGTGGTACCTTCAATGGTTTTCCTTTTGGTCCCTTGTTGCCCTATCCCTCTGGTCTCCTTTCTAAATCCCGCGTGTTACCTGTATTTCAGACTAGCCAATGGCGGCAGGAGTCTGTTGGTGAATGGTGTTCGTATAAGCTGGCTGTTTTGGTTCTTTGGCAAGTTTATTTACTTGAGGCTTCATTCACTGTACCTCTATGGCTATAGTTGATTCTTTTTGATATTCACAATTCATAGATGAATCATTCTCATCTGCATTCACTGGCTCAGCTGTGGCACACCTGTATATATAAAGATGCTCCTCCACATTGCTGGTCTTCTTCTGATTTAGCAACAAGATGTCTTACCAAGATGCTACCGACATCCATGCTCTTATCCTTGCCATATGCTGGTCTCATTAAGACTCCAACTGCGTGGATCAATCCACGATATGAGGCATTGTGTCCTCTCAAGAAAGCTCTCTGAAGTATTCAGTCTTAGTCGTCTTACTTTTTGTGATGGGTTACTACATGTCCTCCACGCTTGTGCTCCCCCCACTATTCAGTGGTTTTTGGGCATAAATCTCCTACATTCGGAAGGATGCTTGGGGAGTATACGTCCTCATTCTACAGAAGCGTGCCCACCAGTCCCTTATCTACATTGGATCCTCCACTGCCATTCGTGCAGCAAGCAAAAAACGATGGATTTACGATCGTTCACATGGCTGTGCTTTGTTATATGGCAATTCCTACATCTGAGGACAGTGGAATGTTTCGCTCCTTTATTCTGGTCATGGAAGCATGTTTCTCTTGTCTGTTCTGGACCATGCACTCCAAACAAAAGCGATATGGATTCCCAGACTCTGACGAGTGCCTATGGTTACCGTCATCTTTCGAATACAATGGCCTATGTTCACACCGAACTAGCATTGCAGATCACCGACGAGGAATCCTCGTCCCTCGATATGTACAGGAAGCTAAGAATACTGGCTTTGCCACTGTTCATATGGCTGTACTTGGTTACATGCCAATTCCACTTCCCCAGGAGGCACCGACATTCCAGTCGCTCATTCATCGTCGAGGCTTGTTTCAGCTGTCTCTTCTGGGCTATGCATTCAAAGGACAAGTTCCATGGCTTCCGAAGGTTTATGGCCATGATCCTCTTTTGAGTGGAGGGTCCTGTGTTAGCACAACCCCCTCCTCGAAGGCTTTATGGCTAGTGAATATTTTACGCCAGAAGAGCTGGCCAAGATCCCCGTTTACAACAAAGAGAAGAACAATGTCAAGCAGAGGCCTCATATAAAAGCCAGGTGACAGACAGCAGTGGCCGCAAAACCACATTATCATGTCATCTATAATGCCTCTTATCAGGATAATGCTTATCCTGTACGCCATAAAGAACCAAACGCCATCTTAAGATGGAAATGGGCAACGACGACTACTATTGTGCTCCTTGTGATATTTCTTTTCATTACCTTTCCAACTTCAACCAACACAAAACATCAAAAAACCACATCCAAAAAACATCATGCTAACTTCCAACAAAGGATTCAACTCCTAACACTCATGCTCTCCGCACTGCTTGTGAGATGTTAAGTGTACACTCTCTTCTACTGCTCAGACTGCAGTACCGATGTACCAACCATGTGATACAAGGGTACATCATCTACATTGTACATAGGAAGTTAAAGAGATCATCGAAGATATTATCATACAACCATACATTGTCGTCCTATCATAACACAGATCTCAGACTCTTCCTCCTGGCCGTGCAATCTACGGGCCGGTGATCATGTACACCTTCGTCTAATATATCCTGCATCGAGTCGCTTTCAGCATTATTGGGGTGGATTCCGTGTGTACAGGTTCGTACGCGAGCTTCCTTCTGGCTTCAGATCATGATGGTGTTCACTACAGCTGATGAGCGGCCAGTTCCACTCTCAGCGGCCACATGAAAAGGGAGGGTTCTGGCCGCTCAGAAGCACATGGAGATATGCTGATGTGACAACTGCAGGTTGCTGGGAACACAGATACCCTGGGTATGCATTTGATGGCGAAGGCTATCCTGGCTTTGTCAACGCCAACGCTGTCAACGCGCATCATCTTGTACCCTATTCACTGGAGACCCCATGCTCAAGTGAGCTAAGCAGGCAGGGCATTCCAGCTTATCATTTTCACGCTGGAGCAGGATCCATGGAATTATGTACCAGCACCCTTGCGGAAGGGAACCAACTCCCCATTATTAATGGACCATACCTGGTATATTACATCGTTGAACGGGAGTTGAACAAGATTCCTATATTTCACTGATGATTGACTTGGATATTAGAGAAATGTACATGCACTAATGACTTTTATACAAATTGCTGGGCACATTATCTTTCATTGCATAGACAGGAAGGACCTTTCTGCGCTGAAATCTGTGAAATACCCTGATTCTAATCTGTGGAAGGGGAATATCATGTTCTCACTAGATCGCTGGGAGTTCTGGAGAGAGCGACTGCGATGGATAAGTGAGCAAAATGAGCGTAAGGAAAAGACGCGCGATGAACCCCGGACATTATAGACACTCATGCAGAGTATTCAGCAACACGGTGAGGAAATTCAGAGCGTAGCCATATGACCTTGCATGTATGTTATACCCTTCTTGTAAATATTAGCTTACAACCACTATCAGCGGTACAATCACTAAAGATGCAAGGGGCAGAAGTATGGGTATTTGATCATCGCAACCATCGACAATCACGCATATGGATATCGTATCAGCTACTTTTGGATGTACAGCGCTTCAATACAGGTTATCACATAGTCATACTCGCCTCAAGCATTGCAAAGACTAGCATTTACAGTCCCTGTCCACCCTGGTTAACCAAGTGCCAGGTGTCCGGATGTTGCACTGGGGTAAATGAGACGTTGAACATGGAGGGTGTGTCAACGTCGGGCTGCTGCTCCCTGATCCTCTTCAAAGTAGCCGAGTACTGTTTCGAGTCAGTTTCCGCACTCAAAACCTCCAAACAGGTCAGGCTTACCTTGAAGGCGAAATTCAGCACCAAGGCAATCGCCAGTCCAATACACACGACAATAGGGCCAAATGTGTTGTCCAGATCACGTCCGCTCCGCTGCCGGATGAGCCGGGACCGCTTTTCATACATGTACCATCCCCAAGCGGCGGCAAACACGGCGAAAAAGGTGTAGACAATGGACAAGGCGCGAGCAATATCGTTGTGTTTGCCCGCAGCATTGTACAAACCAAGAGATAGAGAAGAAAGCAGGATACTGACGTGCAGCCACTTGATAAAGGTTCGCTGGTTGGCAAGCCACACCTTGCTCTCTACACGGACAGGGCCCGAATCCTTGATCCAGGTGACGGGTTCACGCACGCCAGGCGGCAGAACAACCGACTGTCGATGAGTGCGGCTGGATCGCGAGATGGGGAAAGACGGGAAAAGGGCGGCCAAGCGGGACGACGATATTGGCTGCGTTTCTTGCTGAGCATTCACCTCGGGCAATGTGCGGCCTTCTCCTTCAGGTATGGAAGGCCTGCTCGGCCGCGGTACAGGCTGCGACGGCTGTCTTGTCCGCGCCGGGGAGCCCAGGTCCGAGAACATGGTAACCGGGGATCCAACCAGTGGGCGCGCGGTAGGACTTGCTCGGCTGCCTAGGAAGCTTCCGACGGCCATATCATCCTGGGCACGCTTTGCAAGCCGTTCCTGTTCTTCTTGAAATGCTGTTTCGGGATCGCGTCGGATGTCATTCTCCAGTTCGCTCAACCAGAAGGGGAAGCTATTGACATGGTCCTCAAATAGCTGAGCGACACCGTGGACGAATTTCGAGAAGCGCGGCGCCTCCTTGACAAGATGGGAGACCATGAGATCGGTGACCCACTCGACATGATGTGCGCTGCCCCTCAGTTTAATCTCCAGCAAAGCGTGCGGGAATCGATTGATCTCGCCGGTTCTGATGCCGTTGAAGGGGTATTGCATTCCGCTATCGTCGATATCCCTCCGATGCCAATCGGTCGGGTCACGACACGGACGTTCTTCGTCCAGCGAATCTTCCCTAATGAGCGCAAGGTTGGTGTCGAGAGAAATTCTAATGCGATCATCACCAGGAATTTGGAACGCAGTGCGAGTGTAATTGGCCCGCAGCATGGGCTGTAGGCTGTTCTCCTTGATGAATGACTGCAGCTCCTCAACATCCTTTTTGAGTGACTCCGCCTCCGCTGATTCGCCATTATTCATACCTTCCATTCGATGCAGCTGCTTCTCGAACGTATATTTGCCCTCGAGGAACTCCTGCACATGCTTCTCCTTAAGCTGCACTTTCACCTCTTTGCTATAGTCATCACTGGTCACAATCTTCTTCTCCAGAAAAATGGCGGGCGTGTCCTTGAGATTCCCGGTCCA